AGCTTCATGAAAAAAGAAATCTGTGCAATTTGGCAAAACTGTGTTTCAAGGAACTTTGTGTAATACTTTACTATATAAGATGATCATCAAATGCTTGCTGTGGAACAATGAAAATATATTTTCAAATACAGTACTCAGCTACTTAAAAAGACATGGTTCTGAAGAGTTTATGAGTGATTTCTTTTCAACTTCCAAGAAACACATAATATTCATGTAAATAAACCATTCTAGGACATAGAAAAAAACTTAAATAAACCTTCTCAATAAACTTAATCTTATTTAATCAAAAACTGGCAAAGATTTTTTTCTATAAAACAAAATTATAGACAAATCTTACTTATAACCATACAAAAACTCAAATAAAATGCCAGCTACCTTAATCCATCAATATATAAAATAGAATATATTATGAGTAAATCCACATGTTAAAAAAATTACTTAACATTAGGACAGTAGTTCTCAACCTTCCTAAGACTGTAACCATTTAGTACAGTTCCTCATGTCCAGCTATTAAATTATTTTCATTACTACTTCATAAATGAAATTTTGCTACTGTTATGAATTGTAATGTAAATATCTGATATGCAGGATATATTTTGGCGACCCCTGTGAAAGGGTCATTCAACCCCCAAAGGGGTCGTGACTCACAGGTTGAGAACCGCTGCATTAGGAAAACTTGATAGTCTTTATCATCATGTCAATACACCAAATGCCAAAGAGTTGATAAAATTTCTTATCATATCTTTATTTTTGAACCTTTCAAGTAAAAATAAGTGTATATTGCTTCAAAATGATAAGAATATCTATGCAAAACCAAAGCCCAACATTAAATTTAATTATAAATTAAATTTTAGGCACATTCCATTTTATTCAGGTCTCAAGAATTTTACTATAATCATGTGGCTCAATATTATTCTGGAAGTTTTTGTCTATTCAATAAAATTAGAAGGAAAAAGAGGTAACACTATTAGAATATAAAAAATGTTCTTTTCATATAGGGAAAAAGTTAGAAAAAAATTAAATATTGAATGAAGATTGGTTAAGTGAATTACAGTACAACATTATAGTCATTAAAAAATATTTTAGCATGCGCCTATAGCTCAGTGGGTAGGGTGCCAGCCGCATACACCAAGGCTGGAGGGTTCAAATCCAGCTCAGGCCAGCTGAACAATGTCAACCGCAACCAAAAATAGCTGGGCATTGTGGTGGGTGCCTGTAGTCCTAGCTATTTGAGAGGCTGAGACAAGAGAATCACTTAAGCCCAAGAGTTTGAGGTTGTTGTGAGCTGTGATGCCCCAGCACTCTACCAAGGGCAACATAGTGACACTCTGTCTCAAAATAATAATAATACTAATAATAACATTTTAGAATACTAAAACTGGAATTTGTTTATAGCCTATTGTAACATGAAAATGTTAATAACTAATCCACTAACTGAACTAGCATTATTAATTGTTAATCCACTCATTGCCAAGCACTATTTTAGATAATAAAGACAGAAGAGTTAAAAAATATATTCCTGCCCTCATGAAGCTTACATTCTAGAGAAGTAATGCAGAGAGACAGACAAAAAAGTAAATGTACATGTCTACTCATATTCATATTTATTTTACTTATCAGAAGATACTATGTCTTAACATCTATGCTCAGCTTGAGCTTGATTTAAAAAATTCTGTTGGTTTAAATATCAAAACATATACTGTGTTTATTTCTGAACATTGTAATTATGAATGGTTTCAGTTTATGCATCTTTTTTGTTTTTTCAAAAATAATTTGTACATTGAATGTATTTCTCTTTAGAAATGCAAAATTTAAAGTCCAGTATGAGTCATCACAATTTTTCATCTCTTTTCAATTTATTTATAACACAGAATGTTAACGATCAAATGGCTTGTGATAAACCAAGGCAATGAAGACCAACTGTAGTGTGATTTCTCCATATCATGTTCTGATGAAAACCATTCCAAAGTTAAATTTGAAATCTGTGTTGCTCTGCAATTAAAATAAATTATATATAATCAAAAACAGTAAAGATTAAGATCAACTTCCAGTTACATTGGTATCCAAACCATACCCTGACCTCAAACACCATGTTGTAATTTGCTAAGCTGAAAGAACAAACATACATTATTTGTAGAGCCAGACATATGATTATCTGGATGAAAGTATGTGCACTATCCTCATAATGCATAATCCAATACATTTCTACATAGATGAAAAGCCAGATTCAACCCACTCTTATCTCACTGACTCATCTTCATGAATAAATTTCATTAAGCATTTTGTGCAACCATAACCTTGGATAGAATATATGATGCACTTATTACTTATTTGCAGGATACAAGTTTCTATCCAAGTGCAGCTATTCTCTCATTGAATTGTATTTTGAAATGTTACAGAGAATAGAGTTCCAGAATAAAAACATAAATACATGTAGTCAGTGCCACAGTAAAATACAACAGCTATGTAGTAAAAGAAAAAGAAAGTTTGGGTTGGCCCCTGTATGGAGGAAAAATTCAGTAATCCTTTCTAATGTTTCCTTATATCAACAAAATAAAGCAATTATCTTCATAAATCATATGAAAGGAGCTACATTCCTTAATAGAAGATACTGCAGAGACAGCCCAGCTAATTGCTGGACATTTTTCATATTTAGAAGATTGTGCTTTATAGGGAGTTAATTCCTTTTTCCAACTCTCTTCCTATTTCCCTCTCTTAAGCATTGAACTACCAAACACATACTGTGGACAGACAAGCATTGAGCTCTCACAATGACAGGTTCTAGCACACAAAGATGAAAACACATAGTCCGTGCCTTCAAGTAAATCACATCCTCATTGGGAATGTAATACAAAAATAATTACCCATGAATAGATTAATAAAGTGTGGCATATGTATACCATGGAGTATTATTCAGTCATAAGAAAAGATGGAGACTTTACGTCTTTTACATTTACTTGGATGGAGTTAAAATACATTCTTCTTAGTAAAGTACCTCAAGAATGGAAAAAAATATCTAATGTACTCAACACTAATATGAAACCAATATATAAACAATTCCATGCCCACATGAACGATAAAACACAAACATAGTCTAGCAAGGGGGAAAGGAGAAGAGGTTGAGGAAAGGGAGGGAGATTGGGGGGGCAGTTGGCAGGATCTCACCTAATATGCACAAAGTGAGGGTATCCAGCACACCCCATGGGTGAAGGGCTCAAATGCAACTTGGACTTTACCTTGGAAGTGAGAACAATGTAATCTAAAGATTTGTACCTTCATGTTAATCTGAAATAACAATAACAATAATAATAATTACTTCAACGATTATACATATATATATATATAATTTTTTATAGATATGAAGTGTAAATACTAGGGGGGAAAGGTAGTAATTAACAATATCTGGGAGTCAGGGAAAGTTTCACAGTGTGACTTTTCATAGTTCTGCCTCTGGAAAGAGAACAGCTCAATTAATGCCCTTTTGACAGGCCAGCTATCTCTTATTTGAACCCGTGGTAGTGTCTTAGTTTTATCCTCTCTGTGTGTCTCTCTGGTGGCATGGCTCCTGGGTGCTTCTTGTTTAGGAGGTCCTCCTTCAGCTCCACCCAAATCAATCTATGTAAACACTCATTCAGCAATTACTGTCTAACATGCTGGCCATTGTGCTGGGCCCCAGGGAGCAATATGCTCTCAGGCCGATTTCATTCCAGTGAGAAGGGCAATAAAAGAATAAATTAAACAAGCTAAAATGAGAGTGACTTTGGTGTGGAAGAAATGACATTAGATCAAGGAACCTGGAATGTCTCTTAGAAAGGAGTTGGCAAACTATGACCTGCCACCTGTTTTTGTAAATAAAATTTTCTTGGAACACAGCCATGCTCATTCATTTACTATTGTCTCCTATTGACTTCATGCTGTAATGACAGATTGGATAGCTCTGTTAGAGGCCACATGACCCACAAAGCCTACAATATTTACTATACAGCTTTTACAGAAAAAGTTTGCTGACCCCTATCTTAGAGGAACGGATATTAGATCTGAAGCCCATGTGAAAAGAACAAGTATATTTGTTGCCTATGGCTGCATAAGAGATTATTTCAAGACTTAGCAATCTGAAACAACAGACCATTTGTATCGCACACTTTCTGTGAGTCAGGATCCAGATGTGGCCTATCTGGGTCCACTGATCTGAGGTCTTTACCAAGAACGCAATCAAAGTGTCAGGTGGGCTGCTGTCTTCTGCAACTGGGAGAGGATGTATTTCAGGTTCCCTCCCAGGTTTTTGACAGGCCTCAGGGCCTCCCCTCCCTGTCCATGGGCTGGAGACATCAGTTTCTTGATAACTACCTTTCCAGTGAAGGATTAGAGGACTGAGGGTGAGAAATAGAGAGCCCAAGAGAAGCCACTCTTTGTAGCTGATTTTCAAAATGTCCTTGACACCAATTTTGCCCAGTTCTATTTGCCAGAATGAGTCAGTAGGTTTAGCACATGCACAAAGGAAGGCATTACACAGGACAAGAATACCAGGATCGGGGGAGCCATATTAAAGGCTGCCTACCAGAAAGGTCATTCAGGGAGGAAGAGCAAAGACCCAGAGGCAAAAAGGATCTCCATGAAAGTGGCAGAAATGTCTTCAGAAATATCAAAGGCAATGTGACTAGACCATGTAGAAGGAAGGGCAGATATCAAGGACACAAGGTCCTGAGAAATCAGTCACAGATAATGTGGGGAAGCATAAGTCATGGAGAAAAGGAAAGATTTTATTCCCAGCGTAAATAGACACTGGAAGCCTTTCAACTGGACAGATGATATATTTATACTGATATTTTAAAAAATTATTTATTTGGATGAGTCAATATAAAATAAATTTTACTAGCTAAGTCAATATAGTTCATTTCACTTTCAATGAGAATACATGGAAATGTGGACAATGAGCGAGGTGTCTACTGGAGATTCATTAAATTACTGATAATGGTGGATTAAAGATGTATAAGTGGAGCTTGCTTCAGCAGCACATATCCTAAAATTGAAATGATTCATAGAAGGATGAGCATGGCCCCTGTGCAAGGATGAAATGAAAACTTGTGAAGCATTCCATATTTTTAGGCTGGTGCAGTGGCTCACGACTGTAATCATAGTGGTTTAGGAGGCTGAGGCAGGTGGATTGCCTGAGCTCATGGTTTGAGACCAGCCTGAGGAAGAGTGAGACTCCATCTCTAAAAATAAATAGCCAGACGTGTGGCTGGCTCCTGTAGTCCCACCTACTTGGGAGGCTGAGGAAAGAGAATCACTTCAGTCCAAGAGTTTGAGGTTGCTGTGAGGTATGATGCCACAGAACTCTGCCAAGTGCAGCAAAGTGAGACTGTCTCAAAAAAGTAAAATAAAATAAGGAAAGATGCTTACGTGGCTAGAAGATAGCTTGGTAAATATGGGTATGATTATCAAAGCATTTCAAATTAGCTATATGCTTGCAAAATAAAACTGGGATGTGAAAGTTTACCTTAGTTGTATTTTAATGATTAATCAAAACACAGTTTTAAAAAGTTCCATGTGTCTATTGTGGCTAGCACTATCATTACTTATTATGTAATGTATTATGTAATGGTATATTGTCAGCCCTTATTTTGATAAAAATGCTTCTTAACTACATCATATTCTTTTTTGACCCCATGCAGTCACTTTCCCCATTGATACTAGAAAAAAAGAGATACTTGATGTAGTTTCTCAAATAAATATTTAAATTTTGATTTATTCTAACTATGTGAGCTGGTAGTTCACTTAATTTTTATACAGCTTTACCAAGGTATAATATGCATTACGATACATATAATACAATCTCTATTTCATTTTAAAGATATGTTCCACATCTTAATGTCAATAATAAGACACATTTTTTGGAAACAGAATTATGCAGAAGAAAGAATATAGAGGACGTATCTATTGTCAAAATTCTATCAAAAGTTTTTATTAATTGTTATCAACCTTTTGATAACAAAGGAATGGGCTCTTCTACCATGAGTTATTTTCTGTCTACATCTATAATACCTACAATTCTCTGAAAATTATATCACTGGTTGCCTCTTGCTCAGTCAACTGAAGAAATAGTCTCTGCACAATAATAAAAGCAGTGGAGATGTAGGTACAGTTCACTTAGTGTTCATTCAGATGTGTTCATGCCTTACTATGAGCTGAGAGTTAGTATGTGGTTAATGTAGGTCCACCATATCTTATGCTTCAGGATCATACTCTTATACACTGTTTATAACTATGCTTGGACCTCTAGTCTTTGAATTATTATCACCTTTTCACTGTCAAAGTCTCTTTCCTGTCCTCAGCTTCCTTATTACTTTACCTGTATTCTTGGGTCCCTCAGTATGATCACTTCCCACCCTAAGTTTTCTTGCACTTCTTTTCATCGTATCTCAAACTCACCTGGTTGAGTCCAGATTTTATTCTTTTTTCTGTCTGCTCTAGGGCAGCAGATAGATATGACTATAGAAAAATGCACAACCTTATCAACTTAGCTCCCTTGACTTCCATGACCACAAAGCTCGCTTCTGCTCAGGAGCTTTACCATTGTCACTGGCCCATTCTCTCTCCCACTGTCTGAAATAACTAGTTTACTAATTCCCTTCTCTCCTCAAACAGGCAAAATGCCCTCCCTGCCAGTCACTCCCAGCTGATTACCTTGCAAAAGAGACCATCTATATTCTCTTATAGCCAAATCTTATTACAATGATAAAAACCCATTCCTACTCTAAAAGTCAGTCCTTCATTTGTGTGCTGGACCCCACACCCTCTTTCCTGTTCATGACCTTTGCTTTGCATTGCTCTTCTGCATGGTCAATTTCATCCACTCACTGAGCCATTCTCATCAACAACCTCCCTTGCCACAGCATCCCTCTCTAGTATTTTTCTGTTCTTTACACCCAAACTCATCAAAATAGTATCTGTACACTGCTCTATCAACTACTCTCCATCTAGTCTCTTTGAGTCTACTCTGCTCATTCCACTAAAAATACACTTTTCTAAGTCACTCGTGATTTTAATATTTTCAAACATAATAATCAATTATCAGTCCTTTTCTCGTCAGTCTCTCAGAAAAATTTGTTTCTGTTGATCAATCCTTCCTCCATGAAGTATATTTTAAGTGGCCTCTGAGTCTCAAGTTCTCATGGTTTTCCTCTTATTTCATTGGTAACTTCTTTATTGGTCTCCTTTTGTGAGTATTGTGATTTTTTTATTGGTTATAAATTCTGTTTTTTTATTGTTGGGGATTCATTGAGGGTTCAAGAAACCAAGTTACACTGATTGCATTTGTTAGGTAAAGTCTCTCTTACAGTTGTGTCTTGCCCCCAAAAGGTGTGTCACACACTGAGACCCCACCCCCCTCCCTCCTTCCCTCTCTCTGGTCTTCCTCTCCCCCACCCCACAACCCTCCTTCTTTCTTTCTCTGGTCTTTCCTTCCCCCACCCTCCATAGTACAGGTTATAAATTCTTTGGTTCAGCCCTCAAAACCCTACTATACTCTGTTTGCCCTAAATGAATTCCTTTAATTCCAGTGGTTTTAAATATTGAGCCTATGTTGATGGCTCCAAGACTTGTATCCTATTCTTGAAATTTTAGAATTCAGTAAGTTCCAACTTCCATGTGATATTTCCACTCTAATGCTTATCTAGTTATTTCAAATGCATGTTCAAAGCTGAAATCTTGATTTTTCTCCCTCCAAATCTGCCCTCACAATACAGTAAAAACTTTCCATTTACTTTGATCTCCATTCTTTCTTCCACAGAGCTATCAGCAGATCTAGACACCTCTACCATCAGAAGCTTTCTCACGTTCAGCATCTTCTCAACAACTCCACAACCACCACCCTGTTCAAACCACCAACTGCACTCACAGGGTCTGTTGAAAACTAGCATCCCTGCACATGCTCTGTCAACCCTACAATAGAGTGCTAGACTAAGAGCACAGATTTGCTAAGTGTATTGCAAGGATTTATATACTAGGATTTATGTATATCATGCCCTTGGGCAAGTTATTTAACATCTCAGTGCTTTAGTTTCCTCATCTGTAAGATGAGGAAGACAGTAGATGAGTGAGATGAGTATCTAACTCATAGGGCTATAGTGAAGACTGACAGCATAACATATATGAAGCATTTTTAACAGACTATGGAAACAGTAAGCTGTATATGAATATTAGTCTTTATTATTCTTACTATTTTTGTTATAAATCTATTCTGTACATATATATAAGAAGGATTCCTTAAAACAAGTCAGATTATGCCATACTCTATTCCAAATGCTCAAATGATGTTTAGCTATATGTAGAATAAAACCCCAAAGTCCTCCAGACTTATGTGAGTGGTCTGTCCCTCTCCAGCCTCACCCCTGCCAACATTTTCCCCACTCACTCCCTTCACTTAATCTTCTTACTTTTGCTTGAACATTCTAAGCACTTACTCCCCCTGACCTAAAAATGTCTTCTCAAAATATTCAAATGACTTGTTACCCTGCTTCTTTTGGCTCCTGCCTCAAAGTTATTTTCTCTGCATAATTCTCTCTTCCCACACTATCTCAAATGTCCTCACAAGTTCATAGTTCCTTTCTTGGCTTCTTTTCCTTATAAGGGCTATTATTATCTAATTTGCCATAGGTTTCTATAAGTTATTGCTTGTCACCCCTTCTGGAATGAAAGTTTCAAAAACTCAGGGATATTTATTTGTTTATTATTCTCTACTGTTTTCCTACTTACTAAAAAACAAACTTGATATATAATAGATACTCATAACTTTTTTTGAATTACTAAGTATTCTTATGTATGAAACAAAAACCTATATCTTATTACAATGAATAGTCAAACAGCAAACAATGCCTCTTATGTATTACAAAAGTGACAGTGGAAAAGAAAAAAATAGAAGACTTGGAAGAAATACTTGAGAAAATTAGGAATCTCAGAGAGAGAGGAGCTAAAACATTTAGAGAAGACAACCTCAGTGTGAATACATAAGTGGTAGAAATTCTTTTTTTTTTTTCTTCAGGAATTCTTAAGAGAAAGAATAGAGACAATAGTATAAGGAAATTATTTTTAAAAATTAATAAAATGAAAGATATTATACTTCTATTTAAAAAGGGCTCACCAAGGACTCAACAAAGTAGAACCAAAAACCATTATATCAAAGCCCACCTTTGTGGTACATTGCAAGATGGAAAATAAGAAGAGAATCCATAAACCTTACAGAGAGAAAAAAATTCAGTTCATAAATGAGCAATTAAAAAATCATCCTTCTCAAGAGCAGCAATACTGTGGAAAGTATAAAGAAATTTTAAAAGTTCTGGAAAAAAATAATTTTCAAACTTGAAGTCTATGTTCAGTGAAACAATCAGTCAAATGTGAAAGGAAAGTAAGTATAAGTAAAGTTCACAAAAGAGGGATAAACTGATAAATCCATGTCTTAGGATATTCCTGGAGGTACACACCACAAAATGAGGGTGAACCAAGGGAGAATAAAATGTAAAGTCTGTGAATAATAGTGCCAATATGAGGGTGAGGGGGAGGACACAGAATACTCTGGGTGAAGATAAAGAGAAATGGAAAAAACACTGGAAAATGCAAGGGAAGATGAAGGGTTTAGGGGCTGAATTTAGAATTTAGAAGTGAATTTCGCAGGACACCTGATGTGTTTGAAATTATTCAGGGGCAGAAACTCTGGGGATAAATTAGTAATGAACATATAGTAAATGAAGCAAATAATTACATAGTACAATTAGCATGAAGAAAAGTAAAACTTTGTACAAAAACAAACTTGTAAGCATTAGTGGTGAATAGTTTAACATATTTATGATGATGTAAAATCAAAATTTATGTTATAACTCATATTACACTGATTGGGAGAGAGAAGATTGTGTGTGTGTGTGTGTGTGCACATGTGTAGACATTTGTGCATGTGAGTGTGTACATGAGTGTGCAGCTATATGTGTATGTCTGTTTGGGAGGTTGGATGTTATAAAGAAAACCAAAATTTCATATTCCACCCTGGAAAGATAAGAAGAAACATGAAGCATCAAAAAATATTGAGTTTTTTAGAAATAAAATACTAAA